TCTTGAACTTCTGGCCTCAAGAGAACCTCCTGCCTTGACCCCCCAAAATGTTGGGATTATAGGTGTGAGCTACTGCACCCAGCCCCTCCTTAGCTTTAAATACTAGATTCGTTCATTTAGGAATCTGAATCCTTAACGTGATTCTCCCAGGCCCTGTTGACTTAGACTTGTTCTCTCACTCTCTCCTCTCAACTTCCCACAAAACCCACCTCCATCTCTGGACATCAACTCTCCTGAATGGTTAGCAGATTTCTAAGCCTGGTTTGTTTTCACTCCTCTCTACCTTGCTCAAATAAAACCTAATCCTCCTCTAGTCTCACCTTAAACATCTTTTCCTCTAAGAAGCCATTCGAGTTTGGTCAAAAATCAACCTTGACAACCTTCGAGTTTAGAAACAGAAATTTATGAATTTCCAATTTATACAGCTGATAACTCACTTTATTATACCTTAGTTAGAGCCTGAGAAATGCATTTCAGCTTAGACTCTAGCTTTAATGGGCAGAACAAAAGCATCTCAAAACAGAAAAAAAAGCTCTCCCTAGCCTTTTGTGTGTGGTTGGCTTTCTGACTACAAATGTATCTGGTCTGGATATCGCCTGGATCCAAATGAGGACTCCCAGGCTCTGATCCCACGTCACAACCAAAACAAAGTTAAAGTGACCCTTGGGAACATTGACAGGTCATCACAGCTGTTCTGGTGTGGATGAGGGCAGATTACTCTAGGTGATAGTGACTATTGCCATAAGAATAGCTCTAGAGTATTAAATAAGTATTAAAAAGTAGTCCAGCTGCAAAGGAAGAGTCACTTGGGCCTAGGAGAAAGAGGTGAAGGGTCAGAGCCAAGGTTAAGATCTGAATTAAAAACATATTTGGCCCTCAAGGACTCAAGACAGGAGAAGAGGCCAACATTTTATTGAACACTGAAGCCCAAAGTGGAAACAATATATATGCATTTTCTTCCCTCTTTTCAAACAAAATTCGTTAAAGTGACCAGCACCTATGCTAGAGGCGGTGATAATTGCATCCAATCTTTATAAACAACTGGACTTGACTTTGTTTAAAAAAAAAAAAAAGCCTAAATGGCAGGCTCAGATTTTAATTATTTGAAACCCAAGTTGAGAGGCAGAGATCCAGATGGGGGAAGGTAAGGAGAGAGTGTAAACTGAAAAATGTCAGGCAGTGCAGGCAACAGGAGAAGGTGATAATAGTCCTACTCCTCAGCCTCCCCAAACACTCAGGGTGGCCTTAAGCTAGGTGGAGTGGGGGGGGGGGAACCTGGACTATTGTACAAGGGAACACAGCCAGAAGTCACAGCTGCCTGGACACTTAGAATACATCTGCCCCCTGCATTAGACCCCCCAATACTGATTGCTGCATCTCCCTAAAAGTGCTGACTCATTCATTCATTCATTGTTCATTCAGCAAATATTTATTGGGACCAGGCACTGGGGATACAGTGATAAATGAGACTGCATCCTTGATCTCATTGAGTTAACATTCCAGTTGGAGAAATAGACAATAAATAGATAACAAATACAAATAAGAAATAATGTCAGAGTGATAAGTATTATGCAGAAGAAAACCTAGGTTAAGGGAATAGAGGGACAAAGCCTATTGTTTTAAATAAATTGTCCCAGAAAGTTCCCCTGAGAATTACATTTAAGTAGAGGCTTAAAAAATTTGAGAGTCATGTAAGTATCTGTAGGAAACAGTTCCAGGTAGAGCAAAATGCAGGTGCACAGGCCCAAAGTGGGACAGACTTGGGAACACCCCAAGAAAAGCCATAAGTCAAGTAGTCATGAGGCATTGATCATGTGGGAATCTTAACCAGGGCCACAGCTTTGCTGACTGTGGCTTTTATTCTCAGTGTGATGGGAATCCCTGGAGAACTGAGGGTGAAGAAGTGACTTCATTGAGTTTGTTTTTTTGTTTGCAGTAAAAGACACATAAAATTTTTTATCTTAATCATTTTTTTTTTTTTAGTTGCAGTCTTACTCTGTTGCCCAGGCTGGAGTGCAGTGGGACACTTATGGCCACCCCAGCGTCAACCTGCTGGGCTCTGGTGTCCTTCCACCTCAGTCTTCCAAGTAGCCTAACTACAGTCACACGTTACCACACCTGGCTAATTTTTTATTTACTGTAGAGACAAGGTCTTGCCAAGTTACCTGGGCTGGTCTCAAACCCGTGGGCTCAGGCAATCCACTCACCTCAGCCTCCTAAAGTGCTGGGATTACAGGCTGAACCTCCAGGTCTGGCCTATCTTAATCATTTTTAAGTGCACAGTTCAGTGGCATTAAGTGCATTCACATTTTCCTACTACCACCACAGAATTCTTTTCATCTTGCAAAACTGAAATTAATTCTGTACTCACTAAGAGTAACTCCTCATTTAACCACTGGCAACCACCAATTCTACTTTCTGTCTCTATTAATTTGACCACTCTAAGAACCTCTTATAAGTAGAGTCATACAGTATCGACCTTTTGTGATTGGCTTATTTCATTAGCATAATGTCTTCAAGGTTCATCTGTATTATAGCATGTCAGAATTTCTTTCTTTTTTTTCTTTTATTTTTTAATTTTTTTATTTTAAAGATGTGGGGTACAATTCAGGATTAGGTATACAAATGTTCATTATGCAGGTACCCTTTTTTTTCAAAACAACAAAATTTTATAACACTTTGATATTGGAATTTTCCATGTGCTAAAGTGAAGTTCTGTGGGAGTACAGCTGTGCTTCTTCACTCATAGGTTGTCTGTGGAAGGCTCCTTCCTTTTTAAAACCAAATAATATTCCATTGTATGAATATACAGTAGTCCCTTGGTATCCAGAGGGGATTGGTTCCAGAACCAATCCAGAAATAATTGGTTTCTGCTTACCCCTTGGATACCAAAATCCAAGTATATTCAAGTACTTTATATAAAATGGTGTAATATTTGCATATCACCTAAGCACATTCTTCTCCATACTTGAAATAATCTCTCGATTACTTAAAATGCCTAATATGACATAAATGCTATGTAAATAGTTGTCACACTATATTGTTTAGGGACTAATGATGAGATTAAAGTGTACATGTTCAATATAGACACTTTTTTCCTCAAATATTTTCAATCCAAGGTTAATTGAATCCACAAATGTGGAGCTTGTGGACATAGAGACCAAGTGTACTGAGTGATATTAATCCATTCATCCTTTGAGGCACACTTGGGTTTCTTCTACCTTTGGCTATTGCCAATACTGCTGCTGTGAACATGGGTGTACAACGTCCCTTCAAAACCTTGATTTCAATTATTTTGTCCATGTACCCAGAAGGAAAATAGCTAGATCACATGGTAATTCTGTTTAATTGTTGAGGAAATGCTGTATTTCCATAGCAGCTGCACCATTTGACATGATTCGATTTATATATTGGAAGGGACATCCTGCATCCTGAGTGGAAAATAGAGGGAGGCAAATGGAATCAGGAAATACAGTTAGGGGCTTTGTTGTGGTATTACAGGAAAGCAGTGCAATGTTGACTGATGCTTTCTTGACTGGAAACTCAGAAAATGGATGATGGTGATGTTGGGCTTGGTTTAGGCTACTAGGCCTACAGCAACAGGAGTAAAGCAAGATTTGGAAATGACTAGATGATTCAATTCAGCTACCCGGTCAACAGTCTCAGTGGGAACAGTGCTGAATTTGGCTGGAGACTGAAGTATGACTGATGTTACACACACTTACGTCCAAGCTAAAGGAAGCTGGGAAGCAAAGTGGACACCTCTTTTGGAAACCACTTCCTATGGGAAGACTAGAAACTAAGAACCCTAGAAAGGCACCACTATTCATTATTAAGCTACTCCTATTGCTATAAATATGACTTCAGGGCTGTTCTGAGGAATGCATGTTCATTCTGTGTAAGAGAAAACTGCCACTTCTTATTTGTGTTTACACACGGGGACCTGTGTAGTGTTTGGAGATACAAGAGGCTGTGATTTCTCAACCTCACAGAATGTTCAGTTATTTTATTTTGAGGCAAGCCAGCATACCTTCTATTCAGTCGATCGAAATACTCATCAAAACTGTTTTGTTAATAATGACATTTAATAATTGGTTTCTGCTTCACCTTTTTAGAATATGATCCACAAATTCTTCTTGGGACCAAAAGAGTTCTTGAACTTTTAAAATGACAAGCATTTTATTTCAAATTGCTGGGCTAAAACATTTCAGATAATAACAGTGTGTTTATTTTAACACAGTGATCTATTCCAGACTAAGAGTTCAATGTGGGCAGTGAGAGGAGTTAAGGCTTGATGAAAAATAAGACAGGTCTAACTCCCTGCTAGCCAATTAGCAGTTATTCATTAACAGTGCATTAATATTCCACTCATCTAAAAGAGTCAACCAAAAGCCACAAAGTCACATTGCTAATTTTCTACTGAAATCCACTCTCCAGTTTAGTTGTACACAATCCCAGAGGCTCAAATGAGAGATGGTACACAGGGTACTCTCATAAAAAAGTTAACAATGACTGGTAAATAGATAAAGTGACTGGGGAAAAACAACTGGGAACTATAAGGTTTTTGGAAGCATTTCCTCACCAACATGCTTGTTTTTATTATAAAAAAATTTAATAGAATATTTATATTTTTTCAGAATTGTCTTATATAGCAATAACAATGATCATTTGCATTTAAATATTTGGTTTACAAAGTGTTTTTCTTATACAGCATCTCATTTAAAGTGAAAAAGATCTCTGTGAGGTAGGTGACCCGGATTCCACATTCAGAATTCTGAATCAATTCTGAGCCTACATGAAAAGTATAGGTGCCCTAATCAAGTTTCATAGCTCTTCAACTTAAACACAGGGCAACAAGCTTCTCAAAGAACACTCATGTAAATTATCTTAGTTCAGTTTCAGGAACATAGAAAGGAGGATTTCAAAAAAAAAGACAACAGATCTCTTGCTGCAGCGACACGAGTGGGAGCACCAGGAGCCGGAACTGGGAGCAGGACGCCATGGATTGTTTTAAGAAAACAGCAGACAAATCGGACATGAGTGATATCACCAGCTTGGATAAAGCCAAGCTGAAGAAAATGGAGACCCAGGAGAAGAACACCCTGCCAACCAAAGAGACCACTGAGCAGGAGAAGTGGAGTGGAATTTCCTAAGTCTGGAAGATCCCCTACCCCCATCATCTTCAAGACTCCAGTCATTATGTGGAGGAAGAGCCACCGGTAAGATGGACATGAGCCACAAGCTGCACTGTGAACCCGGGCACTCTGTGCCGATGTCACCGGCCATGGGTTTCTGAAAGGATACCCCCCACAATCGCTCTGCCAAATTCTCAGGTTTGCCCTGGGATATTATAGAGAATTGTTTATATGATTAACGAAAATAAAACATCTCATGGCATGGCAAAAGAAGGGAGGGAGGGAGGAAGAGGAGAGAGAGGAAGGGAGAGAGAGAGGGAGAGATAAGAAAGAAAGAGAAGGAAGGGGGAGGGAGACAGAAAGAAAGAGAAAGGGAGGGAGAGAGGAAGGAAGAAAGGAAGGAAGTTTTTACAAAAGAAAGAATGGGGTGTGCATGCCATAACTTGGGAGTGTGGTGGCTGCATGTGCTCTGTGGCTAGGAAAGACTGCACTGCATAATTTTTCAAGCTCGGGTGTTAGATGTCTCTGGCTTCTTAAACAAGATTTGCCCCAATTTTCCCTTAACCTTAAGGAAGTCAAATAATCTAAGTTTTCTCAGCTTTACTAACATGTAATGTGGGAACATAATAGCATCTTTCTCTTGGGGGTTATGAGAACTGAATGCTACACATAAGGTGGGTCACCCAGTGCCTGGCACACAGTAGGTACCCTCTGAGAGGTAGCCATTGTGATGACTCTATTTGTAGCTTTCACAGATAAAGACTCTGGGGAAGTTGGGGAGGGATCACACAGTACGGGTAGAGCTGCCAAAAGTGAGCTTAAGAGGTCTACTTATGCTGCTTAATAGACTCGAGGGGCTTAGAATTCAAAACAGGACCATGGTAAGGAAACAGATCAAGAGAGATGGAGAAATACAACAGGAGATTCTTCCCTTCCTGGCCTTGTAAAAACTACTATTGGCAAACACCCTCCTGAGCTCATACAGAATTCCCTACCTGATTATTTCTTTGTGGCTCACCATTAGTGAAGTGTTTTTTAAGAGGAAGGTATTTATTTTTTGGCCATTTGGTCGCCCAACCTATTCCTAAACCTGAAGCTGTCTTTCAGGTTTTCTTCATTCAAATTTTATTTGATCAATTTTTTCAATCACCTCTCCTACTTTAAAAGTCTTATATAATCTGTAGTTTACCTTTAATTCTAAAAATTTCAAATTCATTTAATCTGGAACCGTTGATATTCTTTGATTATTTTATATCTACTAGCTGCATTACAATAGAAGCTGTTTCATGAATACTTGGTACTCAATAAATGCTGATTCAGTAAATGAATGTGAGGTTTACGCAGCTTAAAGGAAGCTTCATAAGAAAGTTGAAGTTTAAAATTACTAGCTAAAGAATATGCTGGCTCATGCAATTGAATCTATTTGGGAGTTGCCAAGAATGGTGGAAAGTTGCACCTTTAATGAGTATGTCTCCATGGTGGATAGGACCTTCTGACTTTTAAATAGACCCTACAGCACAAAAATATTTTCTACCTCTCTTTTTCTCCATCTTCACTCAGCCCCTTCCTCCACTCCAATACATATCACTGAGAGATTGTATTCATATCATAATGCCGGTACACTGCCAAAATGGTTTTTATTGAAGCCTTTCCAATAGCACACTTCTTTGCACAAATTCTGAACCAATTAAGAAATAAGACAGAGGAGAAAGGCAGATGGAAGGCCAGAGTGTCACACGTACTGCCGATTACACAGATGCCACTAACTGCCCCATCTGTTCTCTCTTTTGGGGATCACATTTCCCAGGCTCCCGCGCAGTAAGGTGGGTCCACACAGCTATGTTCTCTACAGTGGAATGTGAATGGATACGCTGTCTCCACTGGCAGACCAGACCCATACTACCTTCCATTCATGAAATTTCGTTCTCTTTTGCCTTTCTGGTGAGCGGGAACAGAGACATTCAGTAAGACTCTGAAAGCCACAGGTTGAAGAAAGCAGAGCAGAATATCTGCATGGAGGAGTACCATCCCACTGACCAGAACATCAGCCTTGGACTGGGATGAAACAGAGATAAGCTTCTTGTCCTTTGGTCACTAGATTTTTGGTGTCTTCAATTATCACAGCTTAGCCTACCTTAACTAATGATAAGCTGATTTTGGATACAGTGTCTCATATCTGTGTGGAGGTAAATCCCAGCATCAGGCACATTTCTCCACCTCTGCCAGGGCTTCCTGTGCTCTCCTGCTCCTCATTTCTCAAGCTGGCAGGAGCTCAACAGAAAGCTTGCACTCAACAGTCCTCTGGGATTAAAAATAACCATCGATGGAAAACACTTTGAATGGTTTTTGATGGAAGGGTGAGAAATAGGATTGAGAAGTAGATATAAGAAAGAATAAATAAATAAAATAAGTGGGAAAATAATCTCCTTCTGTATTAGCCTGGACTCTAACCCTGATCCACAACCAATTCTACTTTCCCTCATGAACTAACTTTTGGCATCCTGTCCAAACGCTCCCCTGAATCCAATCTTGGCTTGCTCGGATTGGTCTTTTCTTTCCCATTTCAGCCCACACAGCTGAGCGTTCTGCAGAAGCAGAAGTCTGCCAAAAACAATAGCTTTCCTAAATGTCCAAAAAAAGGAATTGGTATATAAATTATGAAGCATCTGGTCAATGGAGTATCATTCAATCATTAAACATGATAAACATGAAGCCTTTGTAACAACATAAAAAATGTTCCTGAAATAATGTTACTGAATTTTTAAAAAGTGAGTCATAAAATTACATATGCAATGTGGCAAATACATAAAACAATGTACATAGGGGAATAAAGCTTTGGATTAGATGTGGAGAAAGAAAAGCAATTATTGGGTTAGATTAATGGAATTCAACAAATATTTTTATTGTTTAATTAAAGCTATTCTGTGTTTAAATGATAGAAAAAATAACCTTTGCTGTTCCTATTCAGTGACACTAGAAAGGGGTAGTACTATCACCCCTCCTTGCCACCCCTGGAAATCACCTCTGCTGAGAGCAGAGAGTAGCCTGGCAGAGCTCCGAGAGAGGCCTGACTCCAGACGCCCCATGGTCTGCACCGATTCGGAGTCTGAACACAAATCCTGCTGTTGCTTCCATATGTCCTTGCTTTATTTTTAAGTCTTTTAAGATTCTAAGCATTTGCATTCTGATGGTGCTGTTGTCTCCCCTAGTAACTCAGACACCCAAATAGAAATACTCCTCAACTCCCTCCTCCCTGACAATCCTGGTTAATGTGACATTGTTATAGAGGGCTAATGGAAAATCTATGCCCGTAGATCATTTGAGCAGGCCAATATAACTCTCTATTGACAAAATTTGTCAATATGGGATGTGCATTCCTTTCACTGTTCAAGGAAGAATTTGTAACAGGGTCAACTTTTAGCTATTTTTGTCATCTTCTTGAAATGTACATGGAGAATGCATATGTGAAAAGCATTCAGTGCCAGTAGGATGCAAATTAATGCACACTGTACATATTTCTTACTTCAAAACATTTCATATCTCAAAAAGCTTAATAGTTTATCACTGTCCGCCCCATCTTAATCCCAGCAACTCTGTCCTCTTGGATGAAGGAAAATGCAATGTGCAGTTGTCACTCACAAGTACCAAGCCCTGGTCTTGGCTTCCTTAATATGAAATCTGGAACTTTCCTCAGATATGAACTCCTGGCTCCAGGCCTTGTGAAATGCCCAAAGAACTAAAGCAATTTCTGATAAGACAAAGGAGAGAATCCCACCCTGGGAGCAAGTCAGACAGAAGGAGAGGGAGGATGACAGCTGAACAAACTGTAGGTATTCTTGCCCAGGGGGATGAGGACTGAATAAACTAAGCAGTCACTGGATGAGATTAATGAATTTTTGACTAGGGAGTTTGACCCTAAAACTCATTTCTCAGTTCAGCGGGGGCAGGAACAAATCAGAAGCAGCTGACAGATGCATGGAGCATAGTGTGAGGCAGGGTGCACAGAAGTAAGGCCTGCCCCAGGCAGCAGTCTTCCCCGTGGTTCACTCAGCCCTGTGCAGGGCCAGTCAGAACTGGTGTTAGTTGTGGAAAACCACTTAACCCCTTTCCTAACCTCCTTTCCTACCTCCAGACCAATTTTCGGATCTTGCCCTGTGTCAGATACAGTTGCCTAAGTCTCTATTCCTTCTTTGTCTTCTGCAGCACTTTCTTCTTCCCTTCTGTTAATACTTATCACACTTCCTAGTAACTGCCATTATGCTTAGAGGACAATGTCTTTTTCACATGGATCTCTGCATCCACAAAACCCAGTAAGGTACTCAGCACCTAGTAGATACTCAATAATCTTTTGTTGTATTCTGACTTTTTAACATAGAGACAACCAGAGTGCTGTCTCTCTCTCTCTCTCTCTCTCTCTCTCTCTCTCTCTCTTGAGATTGGAAGGTCCATGAGAGGAGAGAAGAGCTGATTTGTTCACCACTGTAATCCAGTCTTCGGCAAAAAGAAGTACCCAATAAGGAGGTACTGGAAAATAAATTTAAATGTTCTTTCCAGGGATGTTTAGCTTCTGCCATCTCTTCATGGATATTTCTCTAGCAACACCAGGTGAGACAGGAGGAGCTATAAAGTTGTTAACTGTAAGAAATAATATTTTTAAATTACCCTCTGCTATAGTCCTGATTCTATTTGGCATGTTCTGGCATTTGAACAGCAAACACAGGAAAGACACCACAGCTTCTGGAAGGTATGAAAGTATCAAAGAGGCTACAATGAGATGTGGAACCTGAAACTGAATGAAATAATAACTGGGTTTTTAAATCTGAACATCTCTAAGCAAAGAAGAAGATGTTCACTGTTAGCTAGAAGAATAGGTTGGGGTGTTTTAACATGAGCATTAAGTTGCATTTTCCATGTGACTATCATACCCCAAAGGAATTGTTTTTGTGTTTGTTTGTTTGTTTGTTTTAAGAGACAGGGTCTTGCTCAGTTGCCCAGGCTGGAGTACAGTGGTGTGATCATAGCTCACTGCAGCCTCAACCTCTTAGATTCAAATGATCTTCCAATCTCAGTCTCCCAAGTAGCTGGGACTACAGATATGTGCCACCACACTCAATTTATTTTTTTATTTTTTTAGAGACGGGAGTCTTTCCATGTT